TAGACCTTGGTCGTTGCCTGAACTCAAGATTCATCATGGAGTGGCGTATGGAACGTCAAGTCCCGTTCTTGAAAAGTGTCTTACAAGAAGCCCATCAACACAAACGACAAGAATTGTTGCCGATGGCGAATGCGGATCAGATCAATGCTATCAGTGAATTGGTGATGAACACCCTCCGTGGCACGGTGCCCCGTTCCCGACACACCATTACGTTGCTCAAACCCCACGCACAGAGTTTACCCGCCATGGCCAAACCCGCCCATTCCGTCAAACGACGACGCGCCATCATGATGGCTCAAAAAGGCGGCGCCCTCTGGCCTGAACTCTACCGATATTATAAACGTTGCATGCGCTAGTCAAGACACCTCAGTTGCACCATGGAACCCGAGATGGTGAGCACCACGGTGGACAACGCCCCTGCTTTTTTACAATTACGAGACAAGTACAAACAAGAATTGGTGGAAGATACCCGCTTGACCAAAGCCGCCGATTTGGCCGCCAAACAACATGTGCTCTTGACCAGCGATGCCCCCGATGCCTGGAAACGGCCTCAACGCAAAGCTGTGAGCCGTCAATTACGCCATTGGACCAAAAAAGTTCGCCAACCGTTTGGGGCTCCGACCGGTGGTGTGAGCGCGACAGGGGCCACGACCCCTGGCGACGATGATTTTGAGGCGGGCCCGATGCAAGCGTGGTTCACGCAATTGGTCAAGGCGACCCAGGGTATAAAACAAGGGTCTACGCCTGTAGGGCCCAGAAAACCACCTGTCCCGCTCAAACCCAACATCACTCCCAGTGCCAAAAAGAAACTCAAGTTCACGCCCCAGGTGAGCAGCCCGGAGTTGGCGCAAGAGTTGCCTTTTTCAGACACGTACGATGTAGAACCGTGGGATACCCTCAAAGAACGTGTGGAATCGATCAAGAAAGCGGTCAAGCGCGGGATTCGCAAAAGAGCGACGGACGCCGCCAAAAAGAAAGCCGAAAGTCTGGCCAAGAAAGCCTTGGAGTGGAAAACGTGGAAAACCCCGTGATGGGATGGACTCAGAGACGCCGTGCTGCGCCCCGCTCCCGACGTCGACGACGACGATCGCAACCTGGAGGCAAGTTATTTGATGTGCAAAACCTCCTCAACAAGACGGGCATTGAATTTCATTGGCCCGGCTATCAGTATATGGGACCCGGCACCCATTTGAAAAAAACGATTGGCCCGTGGGGATCCCGGCATCAACCGGTTGGACAGGATTGCCAAAGCGCATGACATTGACTATTATAAAGCCAAGAATTTGAAAGATAAATGGGTGGCGGATCGCAAGATGATTGCCAAGATAGCTCAACTGCCCGGCCGCAAATCCCTGACGGAGCGCATTGTCAGACGCATTATGAAAACCAAACTCCGATTGGGCATGTAAACCCCTCAGTCATAAAAAAGACAACCTTGTTCCATTGCACAATACACTTGTTTTAATAAACTCATTTTGTTCTTACAAATAGTGGTCCATTTGTTGTAACGCATCAGCACGAATGGTTTGCACCCTGTCCTCTTCAGGCTCGGCGTCAGCCCAGTGCAAGGGCAACCACGGTAGGGGAAAGGGACGGTCCAATTGCTCGTCCAACCATCGCCATTCTCGACGCAGAATCGATTCTACACGCCTCTCATATCTTTGACTCTGCAGGGCCTTCCACCCCTCGACATCCAAAGCTCGTTTTTTCTTCGCCTGCAACTCCCGCCGCCGCGCATTTAATCGTTGTGTGTAAGCCTCGTAGGTCCGTTTGTCCTTCATTTTCTGCATCCAATTCCTTTGACATTGCGCGTTCTTGCGTTTTACCTCACTCCGCTTCTCCTCCGACATGGCATGGTAGAGTAGCAAACCCTGTTCGGCTTTTTTGGCCTTGAAGGCCTCGTACTCCCCGTCCGCTCTCATACGGGCCATGCGTTCGTGGTAGCGTCGACGGTGAACGGCCTTCACGTCCTCCACGCTGTTCAAGGCGGCATATTTCCGCTGCCGATACAGTTTTTGATTTTTTTTGTTTTTTTCAGGGTTCCGCTTTATTTTCCGGAGCTGGCTCAATCCTGGCGTACCCATTATTCAATTCCAACAATCGGGCGGCACACACGTCCGCCAACGCACGCAACTTTCGGAACGGACTGGGAGTCTGTTTGTTCTGCTGAACCCGGGCACGACGGTCCCGCTGCTGCTGGACAATTCGTTCGCGGTTCCGGTGATAGTAGTCCCGGTTGAGGTGGCGTATTTGGGCCAAATGCTTGGCTCGGTAACGGTGGCAAGCCAGCCGGTTCGCCTCTCGGGCTCTAGCAATCTGCTCTGGTGTGGGGGCTGGTTTGGGTGGACGGGGTGGTTTGAGCTTCTTCTGAGCCGCCCGCCGTTCACGCTTCTGTTGCAACACTCTCTCTTTGTTTTTGAGGTACCACTCGTGCTTTGCCTGTTTCGCCTTCTCGGGATTTTTGTTGGGCATTCTCGAACAACACTGACAACGGTCCTGGACGATGGACTATATCTAGGGTTCCCTCCGCCAATCACCGATCTCGATCCAGGCTCAGAGGAGACTCAAGGAGTCTGTACCCATGGGGGGGGGGACCACCCCTGATCTTCCTCCTGTCGATCAAACCCCTCACCTGACTCTCACCTGAGCCTTGTCCACCAACCCCCGTTCGCGCGTGATCACGTGTTTTTGGGTCTATAAAAGCCAGCGTCTGGCGCGGGAAATTCAAATTGTTTTTCTAAGTCATGGCGGAGGACCGCTGGTATCATTTCAGTGACGACGACGAGGAGGATGCTCTGTTGGACCGCGCCTATGACCGGTGGAAACAGTTGGGAGGTGCCGCCGCCGGCCGCGGCCCTCTCTTTCAATTCACCATGCAACCCATGGGTCGACGACGCCGCTGGCGTGAGGTGGTGGAGCGGGCACAATTCAATGCGCAGTTGCGTCAATTGCGGGATCCTGTCCCTGGGGACAATATTGGCATGGCCTTGACCGAAGCGTTACACCAAGCCATTGGAACGGAACTCGACCGCGAGCAGCGACCCGCCCATCATTTTGTTAATTTTGCCATCACGGCTCACGGGTTCACCCACGCCTACCAAACAGCCAATTTCACGGTGGGGGAATTTTTATAACGCACCGCTCGTTTGGATGAGATGTTGGCTACCCTGGCCGGTAAATTAAACAGCAATGAAGCCTTCAACCCCGATCGCGGTTTCCAAGTGGATGTGGTGTTTGTATCCATGCCCGGCCCAAGGTCCGGTCATCGTAAAAAAAAACACAATCCTGGTCGTCTGTGTCTGGATCGAGAAAACAAGAAAAAAAATGCATCGTCACCATCAAAAACAGAGACGCTTTATGCTGTGCTCGCGCCATTGTCACCATGCGAGCGCACTGCCATAAAGATCAAGGCGTGGACGAACTTTGCCAATGGGATAGTTTAAAGAAAGGGTACCCAGTACAGCAACGTCAAGCCCAGGAACTGCATCGTGAAGCGGGGGTGGCTGAGGGTCCCTGTGGCTTGCCAGAGCTTCGCCAATTTCAACAAGCGTTGGGCTCTCAATACCAACTCTTGGTGATGACCCGGATGAAACCTTTCTTTCTGATGTTCAAAGGACCCGCTGCCCCCTATCAGATTCGTTTACTGAAATCCAATGATCATTTTGATGGCTGCACGTCCTTTCCTGCTTTTGTGAACCGCTCCTATTATTGCGTGGACTGTGAACGGGGGTTCAACACCAACGATAGGACTAATCACTTTTTTTTTTTTGATATAATTCTTTATTGAAACAAATTGACATTAATACAGCAAATTAGTTACTTACCTACATAATTATAATGTTACAACTAATACTACTAATACTAATAATATAATACAACAAATTAACACTGATATTCAAACAAACTAGAAATGTTTACAAAATATAATGTAAATAATGTATTAATTACATACAGAAAGTGGGTGCATATTAAAACCAACGATAGGACTAATCACACCTTTCAAGGGAACCGCTGCCGTGCCTGCGGGCGCTTTGACTGTCAGGATTATGTGCGTGGCACCCGGCTCACTGATTATTGCAGTCTGTGTCACTGCAAGTTTTACGGTGGCTATTGCAAACGTCATCATGTGGTCAGCAAGCAATGTCAATCCGTCAAAACCTGTCTCAAGTGCCAGGCCCAATACACGGTCGTCCCTAACAGACGTCACCAGTGCGGGCACGCCAAATGTTCCGTGTGTCAGGAATGAGTGCCCATCCACGACCACAAGTGTTACATTCAGCCCGTGGTGGAAAACGAGGAGCCCGAACCAACAGAGGAGGCGGGAGGTTGCATGGTGGTGCCACCCCCTCCCCTGTTTGTTTACGCGGATTTTGAAGCCATGCAAAATCCGGAAGGAGTGTTTGTGGCTAATTTGTTGTGCTATTCGTCCAGTGCATAAACGACCATCCATGTGTTGGACGGGGAGGACTGTGCCCTACACTTTTTGCGCGATTTGGATGATCTCACCGACATCCCGGACAGGGAGGACGAGCGGGAGATTCTTGTGGTGTTTCACAATTTGAAAGGCTTCGACGGCATGTTTATTCTGCACGAACTCTACCAGCAACAACGCGAGGTGGCAGACCAACTGACGGTGGGGGCCAAAGTCCTGTCTTTCAAGAGTGGACCCGTCAAGTTCATTGACTCGCTGGGTTTCTTGCCTATGCCGCTAGCCTCTTTTCCCAGCACCTTCAATTTGACCGAATTAAAAAAGGGATTCTTTCCCCATTTGTTCAATACCCCGGATCATCAACATTACGTGGGCCGCATTCCCGATTTGGAATTTTACGATCCCGATGGCATGATGGCCAAAAAGAAAGACGAGCTGACTCGTTGGCATGCAGACCAAGTCCGTCGCAATGTTACGTTCAATTTTAAGCAAGAAATGATTGACTATTGCAAGTCGGATGTGGCTCTGTTGAAAGCCGGTTGTGAAGCCTTTCAGCAAGAATTCGAATCCCATGGCCAAGTGTATCACCATCGCCAGTGCCTGCAATCTGTATTGGCGCAAGCACCATTTGACCCCCGACACCATTGCCGTCGAACCTCTCGGTGGTTGGCGAGGGGCCCAAGTCAACCAATCCCTCAAGGCCCTGCAATGGTTGTACTACCAGGAACATCAAATTCCCAAGGAGGGGGCCAGTGCCGACCGCATTCGACACGTCCGTAACGGGGGCGAACAGTCCGTCCGGACCATCGTCAACAGTTATTTCGTCGATGGCTATGATCCTCTGACCCGAACCGTCTACGAGTTTCATGGGTGTCTCTACCATGGTTGTCCCCGCTGTTATCCCGTGAGAGACGCCAAGCATTATGCCACGCCGGATCGAACCGTGGAGGAACTCTATCAGGCCACGCTCTCCAAACGTATGGCTCTACTCCGAGCGGGCTACACCGTCCTAGAAATGTGGGAGTGTGACTGGGACCGAATGGTCGATAACGAGCCCGCTGAATCTCAGTTTCTGGCTTCCTTCGATCTGGTCGCACCCTTGGAACCCCGCAAGGCCTTTTTTGGAGGTCGAACCGGCGCGGTGGCTCTGCATACCGTGCCTGGGGAGGGGGAGGAAATACTCTATGTGGATGTCACCTCCCTGTACCCGTGGGTGAATAAAAACTGTCCTTACCCCAATGGGCATCCAAAAATCATCACCCAACCTGCAGACCAGTCTCTGGATTCCTATTTTGGTCTGGCCACCGTAGACATTCTTCCTCCGGCTGGTCTATTCCACCCCGTCTTGCCTGTACGCTGTGGCCAAAAGCTCACCTTTCCTCTCTGCCGTTCCTGTGTCCAGACAGAGCAGGCCCATCCCATGTTGACCAGAACCCGGTATTGCCCTCATTCTGACGCTGATCGCACGCTACGCGGAACCTGGTGCACGCCCGAGCTGGTCAAAGCCGTCGAAAAGGGGTACACTCTCATCAAGATCCACGAAGTCTCGCATTTTCCCCCTGAACAACGCCAAACGGGTCTTTTCGCCAATTACGTCAACACCTGGCTAAAGATCAAACAAGAATCAGCGGGGTGGCGCGGCTGGTGTCAGACCCTCGAGCAGAAACGAGAGTACATTCTTCGCTACCAGGAACGGGAGGGTATCCGACTGGACATTGCCAGCATTGCCAAAAATCCTGGTCGCAAGGCCAAGGCCAAACTGATGCTGAACAGCTTCTGGGGTAAATTCGGGGAGCGGATCAACAAACCCACCACCGTCACCGTCCAAAACCCCGCCCATTTGTTCAGCCTCATCTCCGACGCCGCCCTCGACATCAGCACTCTCCGCCTCTGCACCGACGACATCTTGGAGGCCGTTTACACCAGGGTCCAAGACAATGCCGTCAAAGGCACCAAGACCAATATCTTTGTGGCGGCTTTCACCACGTGCCATGCACGACTGAAGCTCTACGAGTCCCTCGACACCCTTCAACAACAAGTCCTTTACTACGATACGGACAGCGTGATATACCGATGGCTTCCCGACCAACCCTCCATCACCACGGGTGATTTTCTCGGGACATGACCGACGAATTAGACGGAGACGTCATTACCGAGTTCGTTTCTGGGGGCGCCAAGAACTATGGGTACACAACACGGCAGGGTAAAGTGTTATGCAAGGTACGCGGTTTCACCCTGAACGTCCGCGGTTCTGCGATTCTCAATTTTCACACGATGAAAGACAATATTCTCTCGGAATTAAACTCGCCTCAGGACTCTCGCCGAAATTTGAACATTGTCACCCCCTATCATTTTCAAAGGGATCTAGACAAGAAACAAATTCAAGTGGTTCCGCGCGTGAAGCAGTATGGGTTGGTGTTCGATAAGCGCCTCATCGATGTGACCACTAAATCGAGCTATCCCTATGGCTACGAAAGGATTGGGGATGAACTCGACCTGTTATTAGATTTGTAAAAAAGGGCGTGACGTCACTCGGACGTCACACACGTCCCGCTTGTCACCAGGCTCCACTCGAGATGTTGATTAAAAATGATTTTTTTCACGGTCAAACTTATGTGCGTCTGTTCTTTTCCCCATGTCTGGGACCCAGGGTCACGTGATGCCAATCCTGCCCTCTGATTGGTCGAGAGAGGTCACGTGAACAAATTGACGACGTATCGTATGCTAATGAGTCACGTGATCCTCCAAAACAATAGGTCTATTGTCTTTGCTGCGCTCTGATTGGTTACCGACTCAATGGGCCATGTATACTACTATTTTCGGATCACTAGACTTTCAGCTAGGAAATCCGAACAGATGAAAAATTCTGAGGGGATAAAAATATGCCTATATCTACCGTTTGAATACCAAAATACGTTTAACAATGCTATGTTTTAGTGGTTTTGAACTATATTCTCGTTGGGTGCCCCTGTTTTCATGCGTCAGTCAATAACAAACCCAAGCTTCCCAATTCCCTGGGCAGTCATGCGAACAAAACGTCTCTGCAATCCAGGTCGTAAGTGGTGAATAATTTAACAGTGTGCATCTTCTTTTTAAAGCAGTTACAAAAGTTTATTTTTGATTTTAAATTACGTGGGTTTTAACTTAAATGAACAGAGAATGAATAGACATTTTCATGAGTCTTTCAATGCATAGCTAATGCAGACCATGATTAGAATGTATTTTCATGTAAGTGCCAACATAGTTGTTAACAGCTTCACAGTTTCATACCTTCATCTGCAGTTCAAAGTATGGTTCATTTCATATAAAATTACCATTAATTTCAATCTTCATTGTGCACTGCTCTTATGAAATTATATTGTGGTTCCTGAGAGGATACAGTGCAGTACATACTGTTAGGAAATTGAATGCCTTACTTTTTGGGAAGCAAAGCACATAGTCATGTTAGAAACCAGAAATTGTTCTAAATGCACCATAGTTGTATCGTCAGTAAATCTAAGTTAAAAGGAAAATAAAATTTAAAGAAACAAGTAGTGAAAGATAAGACTCTTAAGAGAGTCATAGCAGTAATTGCTGTTTTGGATTCTCTTGTCTACATACACCATTATTAATCTGCAAATACAGCTGTCTCTCTTGTGAAATGTCCCTATTGGCAAGGAAAGAAAATAGGCTGCTTTATTTACAGGGTACACTGTACATTATTATTAGGAGGCATTGTTTTCAAGATTGAGGATAAGGGCTTTAAAATAGCAAAGTGGCTTTACTCCTGTTACATTAACTAGGAACCTTGAACGTTTCGTATTAAAAAGGAACAAAAATATGTTAGGTAAAGTTTCAGGACAATTTGAAACTTTTGGGAATAAGGTGCTTATATATGTTTGTATATTTTTCCCTGAACGTCTTTGGTGGAGCTCATGAGAAGGCTAGGAATGTTTATTGATTTGGAGCTTTAGTCCGGGACTGGTAGAAATTTAGTTCGGACATGTAAACCTTCGGATATGACTTGTCCGTGGGACAAGCCACAAGCACATTTTTAATTAGAAAAATAAAGATAAGAAACAGTTGCCTTAAATATTCCATTTAACTTTGCCATTCCACTGCCAGTCGTTTCATCCATTTGCTTTGTTACAAGCTCCGTTGTAGGTTTAATTCAAAAATAATATACAAGGGTAATAATGTGATTAAACACATTAAATGCCCATTGCAAGCTAAACTTTTTGGACAAGAACTCTAGGTTTCTGACAACCAAATTTAATGTATTGCTTGTGTGAAGGACAGGTGGATAGGAAAATTTCTCTCTTACCAGGATGCAAATAAAGTGATTTTTAGAGCTTGCCATTCGGGCAAGCTGAAGCTAGCATATACTAGCCCAAATGTCATTTCAACTAACCCCCAAAACGTTTTGATGAGCAGAATTGATTTCACAGTTCTTCTTTAATTTGAATTCCTCAAAAAACTTCACTTACCCGTCGGGCAAGTTAAGTTCAAAATTCACTAGCTCGATAGCAAAATCCACTAGCCCCGGGCTATCGGACACTACTTTCTTTGCACGCTGCTTGCTCTCTAATAATAATAATAATGTGCATCCAGTGGTTTTTCATAGCACTTTACAACAATATTAATGGATGATACTTTTATAAAAATGCATACATGAAAATAAAAAAAGATATACATTGTAAAACATTGACCTCTAATAATATAATAAACCATTGTTAAAAATTCAA